ACGGATCGGAGATTACCATAATGTCATTTACTAATGTCAACCATAATTCAATGGTGTGGAAATTCAAGTCGGAAGCTCAGGGCAGAAAAAGCGATGGATTCGGCAGAACAGCCAGTTGCTTATTGAAATAAGATGCAGATTGTTCGGAAGCTAACACAAATAGGTCCACTGTGCACTTCGTGATTCGGTCCGGCGTGGATGGATTTCTGAATAATAGCTAAGGGTAAAAGATGAAACACTCCCAGCCATGACTTGAAAATTTTGTGATTGGGATATGTGAATGTGCACCAGGTTTGTCCCAGTAACTAACCCATCCCAGGCTAAACGGATGCTAGGCACTTTGAAGACTTCATGTCTTTTTATAGCCATCATTTGGTTGCAACCTACAAACTTGCAATGCCTGGGCTTTGGATTTGAGTAGCTTTAGCACAGTCGACTTAGAATGCTAGTTCTTCTTTCAACCACGCTGATCTTGTTACCTCATGCGCAATATTCAGCTAATGAAACTCACCATGTCAGGAGTGTATCTTTCTAATGGGAACCCAACAAAATTCCAGCTGAGTCATCCATTTGTAAGTTGTGCCAAGTGAGTGTGTCGCACAAAGGCCGAATCTTATTTGACTTGGCACCATATTCTACATATTGCAGTATATTGTCTAGAACACACGACGCAGTTGTTTGCTTAAAACGCTCCAAAGATTCACGACCGGACCCACAAAATGGACCTTTCCAACAATCCTTCGCCGTATGCTTCCTAGTACGTTTATCATGTTGACAACCTAGTTTACTTCTTTGTGGAAACATTTCTCGGCGACTGGACTCACGCAAAAATGGTAGCAAAAGCGATAATCTGTCACCAATCAGAGGATTCCTGTGAGAATATTTTGAAACCAGTCAAAACCACTGACGCTAATACTGCTTATCAGTTATCAACGGTGAAACATCCGTGCCTCTGAGTCCCAAGACAACTGATTCTCTTTTGGTATGCGTTTTTGGTTCTGTCCAACACTGGACCCCACCTTCATTGTTTCACTTTAGTAACAACACACTGGTTAGCCGAAAGAATTGAGCAGAAATGCCTCTGGAGGGGCTACATACTGCCGAAGTTTTCCAGTATTTCCGTAGGACTTGAAGCAGCCTTTACACGTGTCCAGAATTAACCAATTCGACCATACTTGGGTTTTTGGAGGCTTGATCCCACGAGCTACCCCTTGCTTTTTCAAATGGATGGAATGGATTACTGCTCAAGTCTTGTGACGGATATCGAACTAATCAGGTTTGCCGAGAATCAGAATGGTGTCTATGTAGAATTTGCAATTACGTTTTGTTCATCATACGAATGAATCTAGTATGCTGATTTCCAATTATACTGTCATCAGATGGCTCCATTCTACTTTACTGTCGCGGGGAAAATCGTTACGGAAGGAACATTTTTCAACTTGCAATTTTGACATCTTATCTGTACACGCAAACTTTGTCACCCCTAGTTACATTTGAATAGAATTTATTGGTTGATTGAACCCCAGTTGCCAAATTCACTGAATCAATAATTCCTTCAGTAGTAAGTGGTATTTCTTACAATTTATTTGTTCAGCTGTTTAGTACTTTTACTGCACACCACGAAATTGAGCTCAATCAAAGCAAAGTGCAGTTGTTCAGTTTACAAACGAATGGTCATTTTGCACATTTACATCGCTCTCGTTTGAACAGTTCCCTTAATCTGCTGCAACCAGGGCGAGATAACTTGACTAAAGCTCGTATTAGAGCTCATTAGCAATGTATATATATGGTTGTTCCGAGTTTCGAATCCCCTATATTTGACATGCGTCTGGCAAGTTACTTATATCGTTCAAGCGTGAATGCATTCGACTATTCACACTTGCTATTTCACGTGGATACGGTATGGAGCAGTAGTATCAGTTAAAACCATTTCTCGGCGACTGGACTCACGCAAAAATGGTAGCAAAAGCGATAATCTGTCACCAATCAGAGGATTCCTGTGAGAATATTTTGAAACCAGTCAAAACCACTGACGCTAATACTGCTTATCAGTTATCAACGGTGAAAAATCAGTGCCTCTGAGTCCCAAGACAACTGATTCTCTTTTGGTATGCGTTTTTGGTTCTGTCCAACACTGGACCCCACCTTCATTGTTTCACTTTAGTAACAACACACTGGTTAGCCGAAAGAATTGAGCAGAAATGCCTCTGGAGGGGCTACATACTGCCGAAGTTTTCCAGTATTTCCGTAGGACTTGAAGCAGCCTTTACACGTGTCCAGAATTAACCAATTCGACCATACTTGGGTTTTTGGAGGCTTGATCCCACGAGCTACCCCTTGCTTTTTCAAATGGATGGAATGGATTACTGCTCAAGTCTTGTGACGGATATCGAACTAATCAGGTTTGCCGAGAATCAGAATGGTGTCTATGTAGAATTTGCAATTACGTTTTGTTCATCATACGAATGAATCTAGTATGCTGATTTCCAATTATACTGTCATCAGATGGCTCCATTCTACTTTACTGTCGCGGGGCAAATCGTTACGGAAGGAACATTTTTCAACTTGCAATTTTGACATCTTATCTGTACACGCAAACTTTGTCACCCCTAGTTACATTTGAATAGAATTTATTGGTTGATTGAACCCCAGTTGCCAAATTCACTGAATCAATAATTCCTTCAGTAGTAAGTGGTATTTCTTACAATTTATTTGTTCAGCTGTTTAGTACTTTTACTGCACACCACGAAATTGAGCTCAATCAAAGCAAAGTGCAGTTGTTCAGTTTACAAACGAATGGTCATTTTGCACATTTACATCGCTCTCGTTTGAACAGTTCCCTTAATCTGCTGCAACCAGGGCGAGATAACTTGACTAAAGCTCGTATTAGAGCTCATTAGCAATGTATATATATGGTTGTTCCGAGTTTCGAATCCCCTATATTTGACATGCGTCTGGCAAGTTACTTATATCGTTCAAGCGTGAATGCATTCGACTATTCACACTTGCTATTTCACGTGGAGCACGGTATGGAGCAGTAGTATCAGTTAAAACCCCGACACGGCCAAGGATATGCACTGCTGATGATCTCTAATAAGAGCGAAATTCTAGTTCATGGCTTTCACTTTTTGGTATGGACTCGGTAGATTGATTGCGGCAGCACAGGGGGGCACAGTGTGGCTAGAAGATGAATTACGAAAACCAGGAATCATCTAAAACTAATTGAAAATTTGTCCAGCCGGTATCTAGCGTCCGTGACGTTACCAGACTGCGAAATTCTAACGGACGGGTCAGTCGATCCACGTAGCCAGGACAGTTGCCTTGACGTCATCTGAGACATTGATCACACCAATCAAAACGCTCAAGCGTCAACACATTCCGTCCAGACGTGATGATTCAGGGGGGTCCAACATATGCATACATGGCATGCGATATGAACTTCTTTAGTCAGTATAGCCTAAAGTTCAGTAAATTTATAGAATCTTGTGTCCGAGTGTGAGCGTCCGCTCATGAGGCATTCTGTTTCTCAAAAAATTTGATGTACAAACTTGCAACATCGGTTTACCGGTCACTTGTGTTACGACGCAATGGTTAAATAGGCCCTTCGACTGAGTTATCTTTAAAAATGGACCTCCCACGTTGTTACCTCAACAAATAGACCTTTGTTTGCCACTTTACTTCTACAAAACCAAGATTGGAAATTAAGGCAGCTCTCTTGGATCAGTTTCTTACCCCAGGAATTTTTATCGTCTTCCTGGTTTCTAAAATCTAATACGTTGAAATTGAGTTATACTTCGAAAGTCATTGATAGAACCAGTCGGAAACCTCAGTATTCGGACCGAGGTGAAAATAAATGCAACCAGAGCTAACCTAGGCTTCATTCAGTACTGCAATCCAAGGCATGTTAGCGAGCTGTGCACAATAGGACATGGGCGAAGTCAAATACATCCTGTGGAACGTGCGCTAGGATATAATTGGATAAATAAATGATTTTTCAGTGACTCCGGAGAAAAAAATTTCCGTCTGAAATGTATCAAGAAGAGACCGTGACGATATGCTGAACAGACCTATGATTGCTGTTGGAGAGATGGTCGCTGTAGTTGGTTACACCCTAATACTGCTTGTTGCGTTTATGACTTAGTACCTGGACACTATTAACTCTTTCATTCTTCTGATCCATTGTGAAAACCCAGTCCACAACTGCTGTTACTCACTGACTTCTCACTACAACCTTCCACTCGGTTATATCGTCTTTTCGTTTGCATAAAGGTTGATTGTAGACATCATATGCAGAAACAGATTTCGTTATGGTAAAGTTTTGGTTGAGAACGTCTTCAAAGACAACCACCATTCTGGAGCGCATTTTTTCGACCACTGTCATCAACGACTGCCATGAACGGTCATGGATAGGTACACTGTTGAAGTCCTACAATTTGTGTTCACAAGTATTCATCACAAATTAATGTGCTTTGACTTCGCATACTAAGCGACCGCACTTCAAGCTTTTGCGCCTAAGGACTTCGAGTGAGAAATCCTTCACAGAGTCTCGAA